GGGTGTGTCCTTTTTTTTCTACCTCCAATTTGAGTGATTCCATACTTTTTTCCTCAGAATTGAGTGATTCCATATTTATTTCCCTGTGTTTGGTCAATAAAAGTATCATTCACTGACTTCCACAATGTTTTCTCTTCATTTCTTTGAGTGTTCCTGAAAGCCAACGAGTTGCACTTTGGAACGACCTTAATATTGTATCATGTTTTTGATCTGAGTTTGTTTTACAGCATGAAATGTCTGAATGAGTGCTCATCCAAGACTGGTGATTCCATACTTTTTGCCAGGGGTTGTATTTGCCATAAAAGGAATAACACCTCAAACAACCTTAAAATATTGTCAAATCATATTTGTTTCATTCATTTTACATTCATTTGTACACTTATTTAACTAATAAAACTTCCGATACTGTTCAGAAAACATGTTTCAAAAGGTGTGTTTTTTATGTTATATCTTTAATTATTCAGCATTTCTTGTTCCCATTTTACCTTAATTGGTAATGAGTATCAATTATTCTAATTGGTATCGATACTGAGTTTGAAATTTTAGAATCATGACAACCTTAGTTATACTTAACACAAAAACTAAGTGCTTCTTTTTGGAAATTGTGTTTTTAAAGTTGTGATTGTTTCAATAATTGATTAGTCACGATTCATTTGTCATTTGCCTTTTGAAGAACTAGTGGTGAGCCTTTCCAGCAATCCAGCAAACAAAACAAAATCAATCCAAGAGCCAGTTAAACATTCAACCAGAACACAGGACTAGGGCTGGGTAAAAAAAAAAATCAATTTACTCGATTTTGAATCAATTCCTTAAAATTTTTGCAAAATCGATGTCTAGGGAATAAGGTCGATTAATTTTATAGTGACGCGCATGATGTTGACATTCAAATGAGCAGGAAAGATTCACTCAAGATTGCTTCAAGCCAGAGAGCTGCAAATATAGCCAATAGGTTGACTGACAACATTAACAAATGGAGGCTGACCAGCAAACACGCTGTAGTTGATACAGACAATGCTGCAAATATGGTTTGTGGAGTGAAGGTAATGCAGCAGACGCATGTCTGCTGTGTCCCTGCTGTGTCACGTCTGCTTGCTTGTGTGAGGCTTCAGTTTTTCACTTTTAACAAACAAGTTTGCACTTTTGAGAGAGTTTTGTTCACATCTCAAGTTTAAACGGCCTGATTTACAAATTCGCATTTGTGTTTAACATGACAGGAAAAAATAAAATGCAGAACTATTTTGAAACACGGTTGAACCACTTTCATTATTGTAAAAACAGATCGAATCGAAATTATTTGATTTAGAACTGTATGAATCAAAATTTAATCGATTCAGGACTTTGGCGAAAAATACCCAGCGCTACACAAGACAATCTAAAACACCGGAAACCTGCTTTAAAAATGGTGGCAGACTTCCCGAATAAATAAAAAACTTCAAAGACCAAAATAAAAACAAATAATTATTTCTCCTTAGAAAAAAAAAACATTTTGATGATGCTGTAGACCAAGGAAACAAAGTCTGTGGAGTGAAAAGAAAGGTCGGACCAAATCTTAGCAGATGTTTTTTCTGCCTCGATTGACATGAATAAAAATGACACCGTGTTAAATGTTACACAGGTCTCAATTTAACAAAAAAAAAAACACAAAAAAACAAATGTCTATTAATATATCAAAAAGAAAACATGTGATTTTAAGGCACGGCTGCTGTGAATGCACTAGTAATTAATCTGAATGCATGCACGTATCAGCTGATATGGATACAGATAACAAGAAAAAACAAATATGGGCCGTCCCAAATATCAGTCTACCTCTGGTAAAAACTAAACTGTCTAACCTGGAGTTGATAGTGTGACCTCTTAGCGCTACAGAAGTGCATCAACACATGATAACCTCCTTCTCACTTCAAAGACAACATATAAGCATCACTTTTTGACCTTAAACTTGAGTCTTCTTCCATCAGGTGCCATTACAATCATCTAAAGCAGGAGTCTCCAACTTCAGTTTAATTCAGTTCAAAAATACTCTATTAATCCCACAGGGAAAAAATTAAATGTTACAGTAAGCAAAGAACCCACTAATGGTTTCGATACCAGTTGATAGCAGGTCTTTCAGTGAAAATTTGAATTTTCATGATAGAATAGAGATTAAAAGAACTAGCAATACGCTTTTTGGATCATTTCTCATGTAATTAGCTTGGCAATGCTTCTGTGTTTTCTTTTACATCATTTTCCACAAATATCAACCTACTTTAGTGGGTAGGTGATATATTGAATATACTCGATGTATCTGTAATTTCCCCACACACGATACTTAAAAGAACTCTATCGCAACCATTGAGTACGAATTCTCCTGACGACATTAAGCTGTCTGCATCTACTTCACTGAGAGGTTTATTTTCCCCACACACTTTGAATGCATCATAAAACCCTCTTCCAAACAGGATTATTTTCTGCACGGTACTGACGCAAACTACAGCAACTGGCAAATGAAATATGGCGACAGCACGTGTTTCAGCTGAGCAATATATGGCAGTGGTTTGGATTTCCCGCCGAGGACGTCGAAAAAAAGGCCCTAAATTGTAAGACGTGCTGCAAAAACCATTGCTGCAAAAGGTAGGAGTGCAGATTTACTCCATCTAAAAAGTGATCCGCTGCAAAATCAAGAATGTTGTAAACTCTGCATGTCAGTATCTCCCCGCACACCAAATAAAATGTTAAATAAATCAGCTTTAAAGCAGATGCCTCGTCGTTTGAAAAAGCGATCTTATATGAGAGAAAAAGGAATAGATTGAGGGAAATCACAAACGCCACTTATTAGGTTATTTAAATGTTTTTTAGATGCTCTGATGCCTGTGATTTGTTTCCTGTTTGGTTGATGGGATCTTGCTAAAGGTCTAATACTGACACCAAAAGGCATAATGTGGCAGTACTATTTGTGAAAAGCTTTGCGATTGTTAAAATAAAATGTTTTAAAAAAAATGTTTAACAACCAAAAGTTTGAATGAGTATACCGGTGCAATTATATCCACTCTATTGTATTTGAAGGTAATATTGTGATATTAGATTTTATTCATAACGCCCCAGCCCTAACTTTAAGATTTTTATGTCTGAACTCAAGGCTAAATGGCTTTTTTTGCTCCCCAAGGTTTATTAAGGTGTTTTGAAGGTGATCTAAACCAAGTTTTGCATATGGCTGGTTATCTTAATGCTTGACTGTCTGAATTTCTCAGGTGTGACAGGAAAGGATAAATGGAAGCAATCTAACGGAGGTAAAGATTTTTCCATAGCTTTTCAAATGAAGTGCAACATAATAAGAGGAAACAGACAACCTTACCTGGAGGTAAATGAGATGGGTAGGCCTGAGAAGAACTCCTTATAATATGAATGTTAGTTGGCATCAGGTGGTGCACGTTGCTGGAGTGCCCCTAAAACAACATGAAAGCAGAAGGTGCTCAGAGACCGCCAAATCAACATCTTTAAAAGCTAATGTAGTGTGAATGCACCCACCTGCTGACCACTGATGGTTGCCACGGGGATAGATGGGGTGGTGGGCATCGTGCTCTCTATGGTCACCGTAATGTGACTCGCCACCTTAGGTATATGAGCTTGGTTGGAAGCCGGTGCTGGAGCAATCAGACGACTTGGAATGGGTGGCTTAAGGACAGGCTAGAGGAAACCACACAGTTGTTCAATCTTTAACAACACTGAAGTATTCAACAAAAAATAAGCCGAAGTGGGACAGATTTATAAATACTGACTTTAGGGTTCCTGTACAATAGTGGAAGTGTCTATTTCATGCCTAAAGGGTGCAAAATAACCCTCAAGATTCAGTCAGAAGTTTGGAGATGTCTTTGTTTCTCCTTATGCTTGTTAAGGCCAATTTTTGCTTCTGACACATAGCCTCTGCAACCGTCAAATCTGTTTCTGTGCGCGACCATGCCCCCCGCGCAGAGGTTCTGCAGCAGTAGTTGGGCACATCTTGAACCCAAAGCAAGAATTATACACCTAGACCACCCACTGCTGTGGTATAAAAATGGTAAGGAAAAGAAAAGGTCATTATAGTATTATCTAGATTCTTTATTCTAAGAAAGGAAACACCACAATTAACAATTCAAACTAAAATAGATCAACTACACCAGTCAATTTAAATCGCTACAATCCTAATATACCAGATGCATGTACAAAATGTTTAGATGAAAAAGGGACTTTGTTTCATTGTATCTGGGAATGAATGGAAATTTAAAAATTTTGGAGAGCAATAAAACAAGCTATAGAACAGCTTGTCTCTAAGGACGTTGCACTAGATCCGGTTTTCCTAATTTTAGGTTTGTATCCAAAAAATTATTTGTTTACCACATGTGAACAACTATTGATTCATATGTGACTACTACAAGCTAAAAGACTGATAGCACTATTCTGGAAGAAATAACAGCACCAAGTATCAAACAATGGACCAGGGAAATACTGAAGACTTTACCTCTGGAACGCATGACATATCTCCAAAAAGGGAAAAGCAAATTATTTGAAAACATTTGGAGACCCTTCTGGGATTTTGTTGAAGGAGTGGACTTGTGTCAAGATGAAGAAGTGAGCTAAAGACAAAATTAATGTCGGACCATGAGCTTGGTTCTGACGACCGTTTACACATCTCTGTCCCTCTACTCCTAGTGACGATCTGCGGTATTACTAACAGTATTGAAGGAGGAAATCAAGCAGTTGGTGGCGGTAATGCACCAAAAGTTGTTTGCCAACCGCCATAAAACACAAGAAGAAGACGAAGAAGGAGGAAATCAAGCAGTTGGTGGCGGTAATGCACCAAAAGTTGTTTGCCAACCGCCACAAAACACAAGAAGACGAAGAAGGAGGGAATCAAGCAAATCAAAACTGAAGCCATTATTTAAAATGTTGCGTTGAGAAGATTTCGATTCTTGTTTATAGTTGTTCTTCTTCTTCTGTTTTGTGTTGGTTGGCAAACAACTTCCGGAGGGGCATTACCGCCAGCTACTGGAATGGAGTGTGAATCGGTATGTGCAGCCAGACGGAGATGACGCGTTCTGCTCATGCGCTCTTGTTATCAGAGAACCGAGCCAGGGAAAAACCGAGCAGAGCCCACCTCTGGAACTGGTCTGCAGTTAGCTCGGTTCGGTTGTGTCAAGCTCGGTTCAGTTCAGTTTGCTTTCCATTTAGACACGATAAGTTATCTCAGTTACTGAGCTCGGACCGGTCTCGGCATGGTTTTTCAAGGGTAGTGTAAATGGGGTAATAAGATCAATCAAGGGAGCCTCAGCAATGGTCTGTTATCTTCTGTACGCTTAAAGGAATTTATGCAAATGTGTGTTTAAGAAAGCATTCTGTTGCTCTTGATTGTATTGGTTATACAACAGATACATCTGTAAAAAATCTAATAAAAATATTGCTGGAAAAACAAATAGATCAACTGTGACAAACAAAACAAGTTCACCTTCATTTGCCCATCGGTGAGAACTGCAGGTCGGCCTTGTGGGAGGTGGACAGTGGGTGCAGGTAAGGTCACAGGTGCTCCAGGTTGGATGGAAACAGTCTGGGGAGAAGCTTGCGGCTGCCCATGCATCTGGACCTGCGGGTAAGGTCGGACCACCATAGTCTCCTGCTTGTCATCTCTGAAAGCTAAGGTTGACCCTCCAGTGGTAAGCGGGTGGTCCTGCTGAGCGTGCTCACTTTCACGGTTGCCATTCCCATCTCCAGCTGATCCTTTTAAACAAGATGAGACTCATTACTACATCTGATTGGAGGTATCCAACCTAAACAAAGTATGATTTGAATAAAATAACTAACCTGAAGGGTTGGGGGGCTGGTTGACAGGGACCAGGTTTGCAGTAGCTGGGATCTGAGCTGCACCCACGCTGACCGCAGGCAGCCCGTGTCTGGGGAATTGTTGTGAACTCATCCGAGGTACTTTTGACCTAAAACAGGATTAAAACCCCACATTAATTCTATTAACAATTGAAACAATGGAGTTGAACTGGAGTACAGGGAGCTGGCTAATTCTATAAACCTGCATGAGACTAAGATTATCAGCTGGGGAGTTAAAGTGTTAGAATAATAACTACACTTTCATTGGTTATATGATAAAACCCCACATTTTGTCTCCTTTTTGGTATTATATGACGAATATCCCACGACAAGACTAAACGGCAATCACACAAGTCCTTCCCTAATACTAAGTTAACAAGACGAAACAAAGGGATTGTTTAGGACCTGCCCGTTTTAAATACATGAGCGCGGAATCGGCTTTTCTCAACAATTCAGCTGCTCTCAAGGATTTTTTTAGCAATAGCCTTTAAAGTAAAACGCTACCTTGTTAGCTAGCTATTGTTGCTAACAGCAAGCTAACGTTCCCATACGACAACTAGAAACCGCCTGCTCTTTTTTCGGTAAAAGCATTAACTTTCAGAAGAGCCTAAAGACGCCGTTTATCCAGGCTAAACAAACGACAGTTTCCGTGTTTTGTGTGCAGACATTACCGTAACCGCTACAGGACTAAGCAATGGTCGTTTTTGCGGATTACAATTTTTCCATTCGTCTTTTCTTTTTTTCCCCCTTAACATGTAAGCCGGAAGAACACATAGAAACCAGTTGGTTATTTGGACCAATCAGATAGGGCACTCAGACTTACGGGGCCAATCAGAAACCTCGGACTTAGTGCAGTAAATGAAATGAGGCAGTGTCGTAAAATGAACAGGATGTTCTATTTACTATTGTAGAGTTGACGTCCTAACCGCAGTTCACCTAAAAAAACATAGCAAACTCTACACAAATTACTAAAATATTTGTTGGTTTACATTACTAAACATAAACAAAAGAAAGTTATATAAAAAAAAAAAAAACAACACGTCTTATAAGCGAAGCTCACAGAGTTCACAATAAATAAAGCCACAAGTATCTGCCTTCTCAGTCACTTTGAGATTTCTTATTAACTATGAGACAGTCCGCTTTTGAAACAAAGCAGTACACCAAAATAAAATTAGTAGAGCTCTCTGAAAAAATGCCTTTACTGCACCTTCAGCACATTTACTAGGAAATCTATTTTCGATCTATACAAACAAAGCGTGTGCATTGGTCAAATGACAGCCAAACTCATATTTCATCCAATCCTAGTGCGCTTGCGTAGATCAGTAGCCAATGGGAAGCCCCAACTCATTAATATTAATGATTCTTACCCGCCAAAACATGCATTTGTTGCCGTTTCCGCAGTACTAACTGCAATAACACAGTCTACCGTTAGATGGCGGCAGATCATCGTATAAATTAACAAGTAAAACAAAAACATCCCAAAGATCTATGGGTTGAGAAATAATTACCTGGAAGAAAAATTCTACAACAGAGAATTTTATTAATTGGCCTAACAGTAAATATTTTAAACCAACATTTAGGATTTATAGTGTGATAATGTTTCCTTTATTCTGAAAAGTGCTTGTTTTCAGTCATTTTTTCACATAAGGTTAAAAATACCCCACAATGGAGAAATTTGTCCTCCTTGTTTAAGCTTTCCTACGAGGAAGAAGTGGGCTGAAAGCATTCTGGGGTTACAAACCAACAGCCTATCCTGTCATCAAAAACCATTCCCACCTCTTATGTCTTATGTCAAAGGCTGGGATGCAAATACAGTTTATTCATACAACCCAATCAATGTCTCACAGGAAAGGGAATTTGTTTTTAAGGGCTATTCAATGACACTTTAAATTGTATATTTTTATGAGTAAGATAAGATTAACTTTATTGTTCCAAAGGAAATTAGATTCGGGTACAGACTCTGGCTACTACATAATCCAAACTATGTGTCACACTGCTATAAAAAAAAAATCCACTATAAGACAATAAATAAATACATAAGAAAGCATGTTACATGACATTCACAATAAAAAAAAAATGGGAAAAAAGTATTTAAAAAATCTGTTATTTGAGATAATGAATACATAAAAAAAGCATGTCAGTTTAGTTTAATTTTGAGTAAACAAAGCATCCTTCAAAAAGACTTTTAAACCTACCACTATTATAATAATTAAAGTAAAGGCTAAACACGAAGAACTCAAGGTTGAACCTTCATTTATACATAATCCGGAGCAACATGGATTTAATTAGTCAACTACAAAATTTATTATATTGAATAGAATATAAAAAACATTTTCAGGAAATTTGTCGAAAACATGTTGATTTTCTGCCGCCTACTTCCAGCAGTCGTTAGGCAAGTGGCGGGTTTCACCCTGCGCAGGGCTTTAGTCCAACACTGGGCAAAACAACCAATATTGCCTACGTAGAGGAAACAATCAGCACTTGTTTATCTCTTTAAAAAAAAGCTAATATTTGGTAGAACCTCTGCCCAGTGTTAAATCCTGCATCACATTTTAATTTCATCAGACAACAGGACCCTCTTCCACATGTTGTTCATGTGTCAAAGAAACTGTTTTAATCTAAACTTTACTATATTTACCCAGCCTTTGTCTCATCCATGGCTTATGGCAAACTCTAAAATATTGTTTTGTTTTGTTTTATAGTTGTGGCTTTGACAGACTCTACTTGATTTCAAAGCTGAACTGCTGTTACCCTCTAGGCATCTTCTTTGAATAAGCAAACTTTTAGATTAGACGACACAAGGACCAACTTCATTTACCAAACTTTAACACAACCGCAGATTTTTTGAGTCTAGGTTTTGATTTTTTTTTTGACACAAGATCCAAAGTAAATTCTAAATAAGGATTAATTAAAAAATAATTTTCTATAAAATTTTGATGACCTGCGTAATTTTAGCAACAAATAAAAATCCTCACTTGGCAAGAAATACAAATAACAAGAAAGATACACTGTATTGCGTCAGTGCAGCACAGATAATTAAAGAGAATAAAGATTAATAATAGAAATAATGATTATACTGAAAAATGGTAAAATGATTGATTAAAAAAAATAAAGGACATGTTTAGATAGCACAATCAAATGTCTCTCCAAATACATATGTTTTTAATCTCAGTTTAAAGAAAGTTTATTGTTTTCTAGGAGTTTATTNAAGTTTATTGTTTTCTAGGAGTTTATTTCAGATTAGTCTAGCATAAAAATTAAAAGCTGCATCTCCCTTTTTGGTTCTCGGTAGGTAGCGTAGCCTTGAGCAGGAAGTGGATGCATGTTAGGCTGATGTGCTCCACTTTCTTAGTTTCAGTGAAGACACATGCAGCAGCATTCTGGATCAGCTGCAGCTGTCTCTAATCCCTTTTTATAGGAAATCTGTGAAGAAGCTGTTACAGTAATACATTTTACTAAAGATAAACCCAGGAGTTAGTTTATCAAGGTCTTGTTAAGTGATTAGTCCTTTAATCCTGTTAATTCCAGCTCTTTAGGTGATAGAAAGCCAGCTTTGTCAATATCTGTATGATTCTCTGTTTATTCAGGACTCAGTCCAACACTACACCCAGATCTTATTGCTGATTTTTAGTCAGATTAACTGAAGCTGTTAGCCAATGTTTAAACCCTCTTCCGAAATACATTTTGGAACATCAATGCATTCATTTCTTCTATACATTTACCAGGAGCTTGAATGGGTGAAATAGTGATGTGCGGCTGTGTGTTGTCTGCATAGGAATGTTATTTGTTTCGTTTTGTATTGAGATCTGAGTTAGGGGGAGCTTATAGATAATGAATAGAAGGGGCCCTAATATGGACTCTTGGGGAACGCCACATGTGAATTTTGTGGTCTCTGATGTAAAGTTACCTTATGACTCAAAAATGTCCCTGTTCTTCAAGTAGGATTTAAACCAGTCCAGTGCTGTACCAGAAAGGCTATTAATTTGGATATCTATTGCATTTCTCCTGATATTAGCAAACATTCCCTTTCCTCATGTAATTACCTTCATCAGCACCGTATTGAACTCCAGTTCCAGGCTCACAATCAGGACTTGTTAAGCAGGTCATCATATAAATACACCTGGCCCATAAAAGGTTATATAAACCAATGCTGCATGCTGAGGCAAGCCAAATAAATTCCTGAGCCTTGCTCACGTACTTGTTGACCTACACCTGTTGGTATGTTGCTTTAACTTGGAGCCTGTGAAAACCTCATGACAATCATTCTTTGGATTTTATTGCCAGCTAGTTAAGAAAATTATGTGACCTGGCATGAGATTCAGATTCCATGGATGCTGTTTACACGGAGGAGTGAATGTGAACAGGACAAAGACGAAAAATTGATCTCGGGTTTTCAAGAGGTTTTCTGGTCCAAACCATCACGTTGTGTTTAAAGTCATTAGGTTCTGTTCCAACAGTTTCTTCAGCTTAATTTACCAGCTAGTCATTATTTTTCAGGTCTACTGTTCTGGAGGAAGGTGGAGCTCTTCCCCAATTTCAAGTCTTTTACAGCTTCTGAAAGGTTTTCCTTCCAGGATTGTCCTGCATTAAGCTCCATCATTTCCCTTCATATTCATCCAGATTATCTGGCTCTGATGAAGAAAAGTATCCCCACAGCATGATGCTGCCAATACCATGTTTTTAGGTATAGTATCGGTCAACATGTTGAGTTTTTTGTCAACTGAAAAAACAGCTTGATATTTATTTATTTATTTATTTATTTTTAAAATATTTTTTATTAAACCACAGAAGCCTTAAGAGAACAGTTAAAGTAACGGCAGGATGCAGATGCATAAAGTGTTTTTTTGTTTGTAACTTTTTCATTATTTTCCCACTATGTACAATTATGCATTACTTGTGATGATCTGTCCTATGAAATCCCTATAAAATTGATTAAGATTTGTAGGAACATGTTGATGAAATGTCACCAAGTTTAAGAGGGATGAATGTGTTTGCTGTGTACTATTCCTACAGCCTCAAGGTTCTTGTCTGTATTTCTCCAGACACCCATACTTTGAGTCATCTCCTTGGGTTTCTTTCCCTGGGAACCACCAGCAGATCAGTAACTGATGTCACCCTTTTTAGATACCAAATGTTATCTTAACTTTACTTCACAGCCTGATTACAACAAAAATCCAACTCCAGATCACTGATTTAAATTCCTTAGGGATAACTAAACCCTGCCAGGGATTTACATTGTGTGAGTGATTTTACAAACAGGAAACATGCAGTATGAGTTAAAGTGGAATCACTCGCAAACCTCAAGATGTAAAGTGAGGAAATTCACCTTAGAGGAGAAACCTAAAAATATCCTCCTTAAACTTAAAGATAAGCATGTTATTTTTTTTAATGTTAACCAAATTGCTGTTATAAGTTTTAAATTAAGCCCGCCTTTTCCTGCTGTCTATTTTTTTTATATAAAACTCTTAAAAAGCAAATAATCAAATAAATATAAAAGACTCTCCTCCTGTCTAGTGACCGATAATCATTTATTGGTTTGGTTAATATGCTTTTCTTAAGAAGAAATGCTGCTCAGGGTGACAAATAAAGTGCAAGCTTAAAAAACACTGTACCAAAAGATACAGTTTACCCTGTCCACATCTTTGCAAAAAATAAACCTTCAGCCAAATGGATGGATGGATGGATGGATGGATGGGTGGATGGACGGATGGATGGACGGATGGATGGACGGATGGATGGATGGATGGATGGAAGTGATCGATTTTGCTGGTCCTCACTTATTTGATGCTGACG